TATATATATATATAAACTTGTTGCTTTTAATAATAAAATTTTTTATTTCTTCTACTCATTTTGTGCTGATACCTATATAAATTTTTACATTGTGCCTAATTAATAAGCAAAGATAATTAGTAAAATACATAAATCTAAGAACCACAGTCCTAAAAAGAATACGTAAACAAATGTGAAGATAAATCAATGCCAGAGAATAAAAGCATGGTGGGCTTTGAAATTGAAAGGGACAAAACCAACCTCAGAGTTCGATATCTGCAATTCTCCATGATGAATTGGTGAGGGAGACCTGTTCTTGTTCCCCTAAATTTAAGACAAATAAAAAAAAAAAAAAAAGAAATATATGGCTTGGCTGCATAAAATGATACCATTCGATTTAAAACTTACCAAAATCTTTATCCCATCCTTTTACATCTATTTTGTAACTTAGCAAAATCCATTTAGGAATTCAGATTTTTGTTAGGTAATAGTACATAGTTAAGTAATATTAACAAAAACTAAAGAATTATGCTTGATTGTGGTTAAATGGTTAGAAATTTAAATTTTAAGTTGAAGATTATAAATTTAAATATTAATTTAAATGAAAAGAAATTTAAGAAAAAAAAAGTTATTCTCTTTTGCATGACCCAAAAAATTTTTAAAAAAATCTTGCAGAGTTTGAAAGGGTTAATACACTTTCAAACGATACCTTTACACAAGCTAAAAAAATAAAAATCCTACTATCATTTAAACTACACGTAAAGTGGGCAAGTCAATGAGAGTGCCAAGAGGATTTTCTTTTTTTTTTTGAACAAGTTAACAAGGGGTTGGGTCGATCCAACCTAAGAAAAAGGGGGAGTGGGATGAACTCGAACTCAAAACTTATAAAAAATCTTATGCGGGAGTTACCACTTGTTCTACCAGGGTTCTTGTGCCAAGAGGATATTTCTTGGAAGATGCATAGCAGATTCTAATGAAATCAAGGCCTAATGCCCACCGACATTCCTCTACGCTTTTTTTTTTTTCTTTGCCAGCTGTCGTTCCTCTACCATAAAAATGAAAAATCAATTTAAACCTTTTACTTTTATTATTTCGTCTCTTGTCTTGTCTTGAATTTGTTTAATTT